TCTTCAATGGCTAGAGATCAGTCTGATGACCTCCAAAATCCATTCTTCCTTCACAGCGCTGACCACCCCGGTTTAGTTTTGGTATCCAATCTTCTCAACAGGAACAACTACAACACATGGGAGAGAGCAATCAGGATAGCACTAACAGCTAAAAATAAGTTGGGATTCATAGACGGAACCCATGATCAACCAAGCAGCACCGACCCCCATGCCGTAGCTTGGTCACGTTGTAATAGTATGGTGGTTTCTTGGTTGCTGAATGCTGTCACCAATGAGATAGCTGACAGCTTGTTATATCATGAAAGTGCACAATCCATCTGGACCGATTTACAGCTCCGTTATCAGCAGAGTAATGCACCCCGTATTTATCAATTGAAGCAGAGCATGAACAATCTTACTCAAAGATCACTCAGCATCAACACATACTACACACGAATGAAAATAATCTGGGATGAACTCAAAACCTTCCAACCAGCTCCAAGCTGTCACTGCGGAAACATGAAGGCGTGGAATGATTATCCGGAACAAGAGTTTATAATGACTTTCTTAATGGGATTAAATCCCTCCTATGCTGCTGTTAGAGCCCAAATTTTGATGATGGAATGCTCTCCATCCATTTTGAAAGTCTTCTCGCTGGTGGTGCAGGAGGAACGACACCGTGCAATCGAGCTCGACTCACACGCAGAAACAGGTCACGGTTCTGCACCCTCTGTTGCCCTAACTCAAGGAAGAAGGAGACCCATCTGTTCACACTGTGGGCTTGTGGGCCACACTGTGGACAGATGTTACCGCCTACATGGATACCCACCGGGCCTCAAGCCCAAGCCCAAAACACGTTTTAATGATGGAACTGTGCAGGCCCAAAAACAGACCCACAATGCTCCAGCTGTCTTTGATGAGGGTATGCCCAAACGCGGGCCCAAACCCGTAACCCACCAGCTATCTCTCGGCCCACTCATGGAACCAATTTTTTCAACCCGCCTGGCCCTCAATCCAAGCCCGGGTTCTTTTCAGCCAACCATACCTTGGCCCATGAAGTTTCATCCTCCTCAGGCATGCACCCGACCACAAGACAAGTGCAGAATTTTTCCGACTCTCTCGACAACTACTTACCGGGATCTCATCCCGCTGCTTCTATCGATAACTTAAGCACATCGCAAATTCAGAACATTATTGCTCACCTAAGTGCACGCCTCCACCAACCCAACACCGCCATCATGCCTGACACTCTATCTCTCTCCATAAGTCATACCACCCTTGACCCTCACGCGGCAGGTATATCCTACACACCCTTTTGTCTTTCCAACTTCACACACACACTTACCTCTGAATACTGGATCATTGACTCTGGAGCCACACATCATATTTGTTGTACACCCATATTTTTCACACACCTTAAAACTGTGCATCCCATTCCAGTTACTTTACTAAATGGTAGTTCAGTGATAGTCAATCAAGTTGGAAGTACACCACTCACTGACACCCTAACTCTACATGATGTTCTCTTTGTCCCTCACTTTTCTTTTAACCTTGTCAGTGTCAGCATGTTGACCACCACCCACAACTGCACAATTAATTTTTCTCTTCATTCTTGTGTCATTCAGGACCGCACTCGGGACTTGTTGATTGGGAAGGGTAGACGCATTGGCAACCTCTACTACTTAACTACCAGATGTTTTCCTTTTTCTGTTGTTGATTATGTTTCCACTCACTCTAAAAGTAGCCTATGGCACTTTAGATTGGGTCATCATTCCAATGTAAAACTTCAGTATATTAATGACTCCTTACAAACTTCGAATATTTCTCATTGTAAGATTTGTCATTTAGCTAAACAACATAAATTATCTTTCGTTTCTAACAATAGATTATCTGATAATCCATTTGATCTAATCTACATTGACATTTGGGGACCCTTCTCTCCACCCACTGTCGAAGGGTACAAATATTTTCTCACAATAGTTGATGATTGCACTAGAACTACTTGGGTGTATCTCCTTCGTCAAAAGTCCGACGTTCTTACTATTCTCCCTGAATTTTATATTCTTATACTTACACAATATAAAATTTCTATTAAATCTGTGAGATCTGACAATGTGCACGAGCTGAATTTTCATTCTTTTTTCAAATCGAAGGGCACTGTTTCTTACCATTCTTGTGTTGAGACTCCCCAATAAAACTCTGTCGTTGAACGTAAACATCAACACATTTTAAATGTAACTCGTGCTTTGCTGTTTCAATCCCATATTCCCCTTGTGTATTGGGGCGATTGCATCTTGACCGCTGTTTACCTAATTAACCATACACCATCCCCCTTGTTATCAAATAAAACTCCATTCGAGCTGTTAACTAAAAAAAAACCTTCCTATAATCACTTGCGTACCTTTGGTTATCTATGTTATTGCTCAACTCTTGATAGTCATCGCCACAAATTTTCACCTCATTCCAGGGCTTGTATCTTCCTCGGTTATCCTTCGGGCTACAAAGGATATAAACTTCTCGACATCGAGAGCAACCAAATTTTTATCTCACGTAACGTCATTTTTCATAAACATATCTTCCCGTTTCTTTCCTCTCAATTACCTGATCCCATTCACAATGATTTCTTTCACGATCGTGTTTTACCGGTTCCTCTCCATACATCTACACAGTCCTCAGATTGTCTTGATACACCTCTTTGCTCACAACGTGAATCCTCCCAAACACGCTCATCTCGCCCACTATGTATAACACGACCACCCTCTTATTTGTCTGACTATCACTGCTACCATACAGATACCCGTGCACTCTATCATATTTCTTCGTTCCTTACTCATACCAAACTTACCTCCCAATATCACAACTTTATTTGCGCCATTTCCTCCCACACTGAGCCTACCAACTTTCATGAAGCTAACCAGTCCGATGTTTGGATGAATGCTATGAATGTGGAGTTGCGTGCCTTAGAGAACAATAACACTTGGTCCATTGTTTCCCTCCCTCCTGGGAAGAAACCAATTGACTGCAAGTGGGTTTACAAAATTAAATATCAAGCTGATGGGACCATAGAAAGATACAAAGCCCGTCTGGTTGCTAAGAGCTACACACAATAATTTGGCATCGATTTTCTTGACACCTTTTCTCCTGTTGCCAAATTGGTTACTGTCAAGATTTTACTTTCACTTGCTGCTATCCATGGTTGGCGCCTGACTCAATTGGACGTCACCAATGCCTTTCTACATGGTGACCTTCACGAAAAAGTTTATATGACTATTCCTCCAGGCTATTCTCCTCGAGAGGGGGAGACTTTTCCACATCAACCTATTTGCCGCCTCCACAAGTCAATCTATGGGTTGAAACAAGCTTCCCGATAGTGGTTTCATAAGTTTTCACGAACATTGCTTCAAGAAAGCTTCTATCAGTCACAATGTGACTATTCCCTATTTGTCAGACAATAAGGTAAAACCTTCCTAGCATTGTTGGTGTATGTCGATGACATTGTTATTGCCAGTAATGATGATCAGGCTGTCGAAGAACTCAAAAGTACACTCAAACAAAAATTTAAAATGAAAGATTTGGGAACTCTCCGATATTTTCTTGGACTTGAAATTGCAAAAAATGACACAGGAATCACCTTGTGCCAAAAGAAATATGCATTGGATCTCTTAACTGAGACTGGATATCTTGGTTGTAAACCCTCATCTATTCCTATGGATCCTAATATCAAAATGTCTAAAGATGATGGCGAGCTCCTGAGTGATATCACCAGCTATCGGCGACTAATTGGAAAACTGTTGTGTTTAACCATCTCTCGCCCTGATATATGCTACTCTGTCAATAGATTGAGTCAATTTCTGGCTGCTCCTAGAACCAGTCACCTCCAAGCCGCCTTACGGATTCTCCAGTACATCAAGAGAACCCCTGGACAAGGTCTTTTCTTTCCTTCATCATCTGCCATTCAGATTAAGGCCTTTTCTTATGCTGATTAGGGCACATGTCCGGATACTAGAAGATCTCTCACTGGTTTTTGTGTTTTCCTTGGGTCTTCATTAGTCTCATGGAAATCAAAGAAACAACAAGTCGTTTTTCGGTCATCTGTCGAAGCCGAATATCGCTCCATGGCCAACACTACTTGTGAAATCATTTGGACTCTGAAGCTGTTGCGTGACTTAAAAGTTCAACACCAAGGCCCTGCATTACTTTACTGTGATAATTAAGCCGCTCTACATATTGCTTCAAATCTAATGTATCATGAAAGAACAAAACACATTGAACTTGATTGTCATTTTGTTCGTGAGAAGATTCAAGATGGTACCGTGAAGACGATGCACATATCCACTCGAAATCAACTGGCAGATTTAATGACAAAGGCCCTTCATCCTACACAATTCGCCAATTTACTGAGCAAGATGGGCACAATAAATCTGTACCTTCCATCTTGAGGGGGAATATTAAGAATAATTAATATATTTAATTGTAACCGTTTTTATTTCTTTTTTCTTTTGTCCATTGCCCACGTACCAGTGCTGGTACGTTCTCCAGCTGTATGTTTTCCTACTTTTTTTTGTTTTCTTCTGTTACGGTATTCCCTGTGCCCTGCATTCTATTTCATCTTTGTTTTCTTCTGTTATGGTGCCATTGCTGATGGCTATATATATTGTGTAAGCTGCAAACGTATAGTATTGAATAAAAACATTTCCCTTATACTTACTCTTAGGTTCATTTTGCTCTACCTCCTTTCTGTCAAATTTTCTATCACTTTGTTTATACGAAGGTTGAGACTTTCTCTTAAATCCGGAATTTTCTCTGGCCTATCAAAAATATAATCTTGAAATAATTAGAGATTAGAAAACGGTGTATAGAGAGATTGGCTACAAGGATATCAACAAATTTATGTTTTATTATAAACTTGATGTATAGATGTAACTCAGTAAAAGAGAGGTCATATATATGGCTGGGCTCTCTTTATCCCAATTCATCGTTTCTTGTCATTTTCTCCCATGTCTTTCGATTTCTCAGTTGCTTCCTTTAATATATATTTTCTTGTTCCAAATTAAAAAATTTAATTAATTTGGATTCTAGAAAATCAGACCCACAATTTTTTTTATACTTAGCTCCTCCAGTAAAAAAGCAACCCATTTCTAAATAATTCTAAAAAAGAAAAACTTCAAAATTTGGAAAAACACCCTCATAACTCATATCCTGCACATGGGAATATTGGGATTCATTTATACCAGCTTGGTGACACCCTAGCACATGGTTAGTGCCGTGCATGCGCAAAGGAGCAATAGTTTATATATATATATATATATATATATATATATATATATATCTGTGTGTGTGTGTGTGTATATATATATACATTCTTTAACTTTTTTATCTGTTGGAGCGATAAGTAAGCAAGAATTCTGTGTCCATACGTATTTGCATAACCTAATTACTAATTGAAGAGAGTAGTTTATCCGTCACGCTAATAATCAGGAGGAAGTTAAGAATGGCGAAAAGGGATAGGTCATTACAAAAAATTGGCTATGTGGGTATTCAGATTTTTGATAGCTCTATACATATTTTCAAATGAGATCTAAATTTTGACATCAAATTACTATTTTAAGGAGAATGCGTGATGGGATTCAAACCTAAAATTCAATTAAAATATTTCAATGTCACTCACAGAAGTATAGAGCACTACGTATCACTCGGGCATCAGCCATGTGGTAGGCATATATATATGTATGTATATATATATATATAGATATGTATATACATATATAGATATATAGAATAAAAGAAATGTAAGTTTGCAATTTGAAGTTTGTCATATAAAAATGGAAGTTTAGGCAGTGATTTGATGTTCATAAGCAGTGCATGACTAACAGTTTGAGCTCAATGATGATAGCGTTAGACCCGCAATCCCCTCCAAACATGAATATAATCTTTTGTCTTAAAAAATAACCAAACTCTATTGTAGTCCAACCTAACATGTTCAAATTCAATCTTATCATACTAATTTTACATTACCATCAAATCAATTATATACATTGGATTAAAAAGTTACACTATGCTCATTTTAAATCCAATTATATATATATATATATATATATATATATTAGATACCGATGATATATTATAAATATTTAATAATGAAACTGAAGATAAATAAGATAGAGAGAAAATTTGAAGTGTGATTCTTTTAGAATCAATTAAATTCAGTAAGAAAATGTGAAATATTCAATTGTTCTTATTCGATGTTCCAATCGAGATTTCTAATATATACTAAGAATATTGGTTTTGCTCTATTTTCTTAATTATCGAAGATCATTTTCTTATTCCTGCCACTTGTTGACTAGTGATTCTCCTATTCTCCTTACTTTCATGGTTACTTCAAATTTTTTTTTAGTTTGTCAAGTGAACCATGTGACAACCCTAGTTAGGATTAGACCTAACTGAAAATGATCATCTATTGCCTATGCTATCAATCATGTTTTGATCAC